TTGATGTGGCAGGTTTATTTTAGCAACCCCATGTTTTAAAACTGCTCCTGGTCTGGTGGGAAATCTTTCTGTATATAATATTTGATGATTCAGTGACAGTCTCAAAATAGGCAGATCTCATCTATTGACTAATATTCTAAAGAAATGTTTTTATTTCAGATTTTTGATGTCAGAACTGATTAAAGGATCTGGAGGAACCTTTACAGTATTACTAAGTGGGGGGGCATCCGGGGGTGCCATTGTGTGACAAAGCAAAACCAACCCCAGCTTTCCCACATGTGTATGAAATAGAATTAGACATCTACCCACCTCCCTACACCCAAACTTCAGGTTTTAAAAAAATGGAACCTGATCTGAAGTATCCCTCATTGTGGTTATAGAAGATGAATAGCTGACTTGGGTTTTGCCAAATTAATACAACCCCTGCTTTTGACAAATGCTGCCTTACAAGGAAATGACATCTCTCAAGGGGCAAGAGATTGGACTAATTTTAGTGACTTGTATGCTATGAAACCAAATTTCCCCTTTAAAAAGGCACTGTAAAACAATTCATGTTTAATTTAATAATACACTACCAAGAATATAGTAATTTAGTAATACATTATCAAAAATATAACTGAGGGGAAATAGAAGAAGAGAGGAGATAGCAAGATACAAAGCTGATGGGGGGAGAAGGGTGATGGAAGAAAAAAGCAGGGAGGTGGCAAGGGCGGAAAAATATACAACTGAGACATGATAAAACTTAAAGATTTTATTACTCAAAACCTAAAGGTCAACTTTAAAATATAATTGAAAAAGTGAAAGAATGTGATGAAGTAGATCAGACAGAAGGAGGTGCATATGCTAAAATTTGCCTAGGACAGCAAAAGCCCTGATCTAATCTCTGCTTTCAAGAATTTTGTAAGAAAACTGAAAATTGCATTTGCTTTATTACTGTATTCCCATTCCATAGCCAGTGTTTCCTGGTGGGCTTTCTCGTGTGTGTGTTGCTCATTGCACTGTGCTTTTATTGATTTCTACAAGGATTTCGTCAAGCAAAAATAAGCATTTCCATCACTTTACAGGCCTTACCTACTTCTCTGTCAGTTTTTACCAACCCCACATTTTCCAATTATACTTGTCTGTCATTTGACATTTTTATCTGACAAGTAAATTAAGGTCATCAGGACGAGTCAGGCTTGAAGAGACCCTTTGTAGTGATGTGACTAGTTGAAGAAAATCCTAATATATTGGACTCTGACATATCTGCCATCATGGTAGAAGAGAACAAGAGGAGCAAAATAATCACTTTCTAAGAGTATATAGTCCCAGCTAAGAATCATACTGGTTAAAGACAGAAAAGCTAAATTTAGTCATTGAGTTCATCCCCCTCCATGTGCAGGATATAGTCCTGGTTAGAGGACTAATGCTGTTAAATTGATATATTACACTTCATTTTAGCTAAAAAGCCAAGAAACAACAGTTCTACTAAACAGAAACGATCCAGGAAGCCTGACTAAAGCTCTTCTGAGTTTTCTGCATGATGGTTATTTGGGCTACGGAACCAATTTTTATCATCAACTCTATCCTTCTCCAATACCCAGAACTTTAGTTATCAGGAAAGAAAGCTTCAGATTGTCCATTTAGCAGCAACTGTGTATTAAGGATGTCCAGGCACAGGTAGTTAGTATCTGAACCCCTTCTGCACCTGCTAAATTCATTGCTCCTGCATACCTTTTTTTTCTATTAAACTCATCTTGAAAGGGCTGCAGTTTGTCCTCTAGTCCCCACTTCAAATGGTGGCAATATGCACTCAATTAACATTTCCTTCTCTTGTTATGGCTTTAAAATGTCTCTAGGCTTAACAACCTCTGCAGCAGTTTAGCAGGGGCCCAACAGTTGAGAGATGGTATTCAACATTTGATCTGAAGACCTGGGATAATGATTATTATTTGCACTGTTACTTGCATCACATCATTTTTGTTAACTTGATTTTTTCCAAGTAAATATGACACTATTGAATATAACATGATGCAAAGTCTAAAGTCATTCCCACAATATCACTAGTTACTGTTTGGGAGCTTAACTATTTAGTGAGTAGTTGATAAAAGGTTTCAGTGTATCTTTCATTCAAAGATGTATGTATCTAACTTGTCTGTGAAGAGTTTATGACCACAGATACTGAATGCAGTATTGTAATTTATTGTCTGTACATATTTTCATTAAATTATAGAGACAGAAACCTAATGCCAGAGATTTAATACATTGTTTTTATTGCAAAGTGGACATAAATTACTATTGTTTTTATTTGCTTTGACTACTGTTGCAAAGATAGCTCATGCTATTTATTAGTTGCTAAATCACTCAGAAATATTATTTAAAGTCCAAATGTTCCCTCTTGGATACAACATTTTTATGAGGCTTTTGACAGTTTGTGTACAGTATTCTGGGTGTCACAAAGTACTGTGTAAGAGGCTACATTGTATTGAGGCTTCTCCTCAGAGGATCCCAGATGATGTACCTACATTTGAATCAACGGAGGCCCCAGGAGAGCTGCATGTTTTGCTTTCTGAGAAGTGCACAATTGCATGAAACCAGATTTTGTTTTCTTGATGAAGCTGAGGTTGATCTCTTTCCTGCATTTGTTGAAGTCAGCTAAAACACCCAGTACTATATTTCTACCAGTGTCAGAAGGCCCCTAATAGGGCCCCTGTTCTTAATTCTCAAAATACTACATATCTCATAAAAACTAACAAATAGAGAACAGATGGAAATGTACTGGAGGGTGATAACTTTCACATAAAATTAGGTGCTGATAAAGATCCTCAGGATTACAGAGCAAGAGAGACAGAGACAATAGAGCCAAATCCTTCTCTCATTCATAGAGCATCTAATAGACTGAGGCCTTGAACTGGCCTCTAGGCAATACTGCAATATAAATGTTTAATATTAATAATAATAATTAATTAATAGGATCAGACTCGCAGAGTCAATATTTTCAGGTGATTTGCTTAGACCCAATGTTTGTTGGAGAAAGTGATAAGAACAGACAAATCTTGAGAACAACATTTTTTGTTGCTTGGATAGAGTGCAGGGAGCTAACAGATGAGCCTGCACTCAGATCACTCTGACATCTATTAGTTCCCCTGAAGAAAACTGATTGGGATTATTATAGGTAATTAGTGAATCAGACTGATGGGCTGGCTGAGCTAATGAGCCAATTAGCCCATCAGCTCAAGATTGATAAAGAGGCAGAGGAAGGAAGTGCCAGGTGAAGAGGAATAGGGGTAGCTGAGTCCAGTCTCACAGAGGCCTCAGGGAAGGGAGACTGCTCCTCTGTGGTCCTGAAGGGAGGACGAAAAGCACAGGGGATATTGTAAACAGTACTGTTGCATAGGACTGTTGCATAAAGTTGCATAAAGTACTGTTGCATAAAGATGTTGGTGGAGGGAACTCAAATGGTACGGTGAATACACAGCCAGTAGAATCGGAGCTGGTTTCTGGGGTGCAAACAGGCAGGCTAGGGATCATGTTCCGCTACAGTTACCTTTCACCAAAGCACCTTATAGTTAAAACTGTACAAATATGTTAGCAGCCTGAAGAGCCTGTGCTGCAAAGGACTCTGAATAAGAGTCTTGTCTCTGGCTTCTGTGGGGCTCAGTTATATAGTCCATATTCATACAATACTGGAAGATTTTCCCACAGAATGAATGCAGAATTGGGCTTAGTGTTAAGCTGACTAAATAAATGTGCTGTCAATGTGTCTAGAAGTTTGCTAAACTTGGACCCTGGCAAATTGCAAGAGTCTGAGGGTATGTCTTCACTACCCGCTGTATTGGCGGGTAGCGTTCGATTTATCGGGGATTGATATATCGCGTCTCGTTAAGACGTGATATATCGATCCCCGAACGCGCTCCCCGTCGACTCTGGAACTCCACCGGAGTGAGCGGCGGTAGCGGAGTCAACGGGTGAGCCGTGGTCGTCGATCCCGCACCGTGTGGTCCCCAGGTAAGTCGATCTAAGATACTTCGACTTCAGCTATGTTATTCACGTAGCTGAAGTTGCGTATCTTAGATCGATTCCCTCCCCCAGTGTAGACCAGCCCTGAGAATTCCATAGGCCTTCCTCTGATCATCCTGTAAAGCTTATACTCAAGAAACCACAGTGATCTTAGCAACTGTGACAGAATATAAAAGAAGTGCCAGTTTATTCATATAGCCAGGCCACAACCCATTTAGGATTTTAAATATTTTTTTAAAATATTTGAATATAATTGCTTTGCCAAAACCCTTATAAACCAATTCCACTTCATGAGTTTTATTTTCTTGTGTTTGGAAAGAACACAAAGCATTATTTTTTACTATTATCTTATTACTATTATTATTACAATTATCTAGTATAGTACAGCATTGGGCTCTTTTAAATATGGGACCTGATTTTCACACTATAGTTGCGTGTGCAACTGTGCACATTGCATGCACACTACTTCATGTACACATTGCTAGATGGAGAGTCTCTCTAGATATCTGTATGTGGTAGTATACGTGCATGCTATATGGATAATTACAGGACAAAGCAGCGTAGGTTTGAAAATCAGGCTCAATTTTAAATTTCATAATTATTGGCTATTTTTATGAGCTGATAGCTCCAGGAGCTGGACATTCCAGTTATTTTGACTGTAATTTTTAAGCATTGACAGGCAGGAGCAGAAGTTTCAGGACCAAATAACAGAGGAGAAAATGTTTGCGCAGTTCCCAGGTACCTCTTTAATCTCTCTCTGTCAAAACCGCCTCCCCACCTTCAGGAGCAGTATAGGGAACTAACTACCTGCCCGTTGACCTCATCCCCTTCCCTCCACAGGCAAATTCCACCCACTGTCTTCATTAACCATCAGAGAAGTCATTGCAACTTTCAGTTCTCGGAGAGTAATCAGGCATTTGGCTGCTGGAATATTATGATCCTTTCTGCATGTATCCCACTCATTGAAACTTTAACCCCTCTTCTCTGTGTTTCTGTTTCAGCTTCTGATATAGCTGCGGAGCAGGGGCAGATTCTTGTAATTGCCACTGCTGCTGTTGGTGGATTCACTCTCCTGGTTATCCTCACTCTGTTCTTCCTAATCACTGGGAGGTAATTCATATTACACTGTACTAGTTCATGTAGGGTGAAATTCATCCCAATGAATGGGCTCACATTAGTTAAATCATTACTCCATAGCTTGTGTAGCGATTAGGGCCTTTTGCAGTCCAAATGTCATGGCGTAAATGTCACCCTTATTGAGTGTTGACAGCTCTCCCAATTTTAGTGAGACTCTTCTAATATTTGGTGTTTTGTTTAAAGCCCCACTCCTAGAGTCATGTGATTAGGTGAGAATCGCTGCATTCATTTTTTCTAGCCCTCCTTGCCAAGAAAAGCTTGAAAACTTGGTCCAAGTACACCCTAAAGGTTTGGAAACCATAAGGCAAATAAAAAGAATCCCAAATATATTTTTTATTTTAAATCTCATGATTTTAAGCCAATCTCATGATTGGGGGTGGGGCTTGACTCATTATTTGGTGTGCTTGCAGTTAGCAACAGTGCATACTCTATTAACCTATTTTAGTGGCCTATTTTTGTGACCACTTTCTGTATTAAACTTTAAAAAAAATACATATCCAACAATAGATGTAGCAATTGAAATACACAAAGAGAAAATATGCTTATTGAAATCTATTGCCTGATCAATGTTTGATTTTTTTATATATCTTGTTTATGAAAACAGTCCAGTCTAGTGATAGAATCATGGTTTTACTAATCTAAGTATAGATTGGAAAAGTGGTACCAGAAGCAGAGGGAGGACAACTAAGAGAAATGTGATCAACTTAAGTAAAGGAAAAATTAATCGAAAACCATTAGAATTAACATACTAAGAGTAATACTAATTAGATTGTAGAATAGTCTCCCCAAAGGAAGTGGTGAGAGTCCTATTTGCTTGGGATTTTTAAAATTAGACTGAACAAAGCCCTATTAAATCTACTTTAGCAAACATTGATGCATTAGGAGGGGATGCACTAGATGACCTATTAGGACTTATGCAATGATTCTCTTATTCCATTTCCATTTCCTTCCTTGTAATACAATACCGACTGTTCAGCTTGCTTCACTTGATATGATGATCACGATCTACTACTGACACTGTGTTAATTGGATGAGGAGTTGCTTTTATTCTGTTGACCAGATTCTGCTCTTCCTTACCCAAATGTAAATCTGGAGTAAATGCATATAACCTCAGTGGAGTTACTACCATTTTGCACAGATGTAACTGAGATCAGAACCTGGCTCCCTGCCAGTGTGGGGAATCATGTGTCTCAGATCCTCCACAAAGAATATCCATGCAGCAGTCTCCCCCTCCCATGTGGAAAAATGGACTCAACCACTTCCACAGCTCCACCACCCCTGGGCCCCAGGGTGGCCTCTCTCTCACTCCAAGGTTTCACAAGAAAATGAGTATGACAGCCAAGAAAGGAGAGGGCCAGATGGACAGACATCACCCCTGCCCTGTACCCGATTCAGTTTCCAAGAAAAAGACAGTGTGTTCCCACTCTCTTTTGTGCCTGGGATCCCTATGGCCAGTGAGAGTCACTGGTCGTGCAGCTTCTCTGGGATTGTGTTCTAGGAAACAGGAAAAGCTTCAGGGAGACAAAGCTTCTCTAGAGACATGAGGAGACTCCACAGAGAGGTTCTTTTGTTTTCCTGAGGGGTAGGAGGTCCCACAGCCTGTTTCATGGGGAGGGATTGTGTATGCACAAACCGTGGACTCCTTTCCCCCACACAACATAACGAAGTGGAAGTATCTCCAAAGAGGACTTGTTAGTGAGTTCCTCCATCTGTGCCGCACCTGTTTTTTGGGAGGGAGGGGGAATCTATGGATTGCATGGAACTGAACACTGTATTTGCACTCTTGTTTAGAATCTAAGCTTTCATTTGGTTGGCAGAGGAAGTTCTAGCCCTCCTGAATGTGAATATATCCGTCATTATGTGAATTAATGCACTGCTCTCTTGTGAAGCCTGTAACATGACAGACTAAAAAACAATAGAACCAGTGGGTGTTAACATTCCATTAAGATAAATGGGAGAAGTTAACTTCAAAGTCTAATTGTGACAAATTAAATATTAAGAGTGTAAGCAGAGATCTTTACTAGTAGCTACTGCTGTAGATACTGGAAAATATTATATTGTTTCAGTGGAAATAAGGATGGATTCAGCCTACAAAGACAGGAAATTTTTGAAAGAAATGATTATGTAGAATCATCAAGTGGAATTCCTGAAAAACAGTGTGAATGCCTCCCTTAAAAGTAACTCAGTAATGGAATAAGATTAGTATTGATGTGGAGATTCTTGAATTCTTTCTACTTTCATTCTTTCTCTTTGCTAATGTTAAGAACATCAGAGGTTCTTTTAGCTTTCTAACATCTTACTGAATGGAACTTTTCAATTACATAAGATATGGATTCATTTTGAAGTATCTCTTAAACACAGTGATAAGACAGTATTCATTGGAAATTATTCTCTGAAGACAGAGTGAGAAAATTTTGGATAAATACTCAATTTACTATAGGATTTGAGGCAAATTTCAGTGTGAAAGATTGGATTGGTACCCTACAGATGTGTTCTGCTTCACTATTTAGAATTAGCAATTTGATGGACTGTCGAATCACAAGGCTGCTGATGAGTCTATTCATATTGAAGAGGCATGGTGAGATAAGCACCTGCTTGTGACTTCAGTGAATGATTATCCACTAAGAGCAAATAGGAAGCATTTCCATCAGTTTCAGATATTAAAATGAAAGATGCAATGACTTAGAGCCACAAAAATGATGGGGGATGGTTGGCTAAATTCCAGGGAATGCAGCATTAAAGCCTGGTATGATTTATTTTGATCATTAGGGAAATTATTCCTCAGTGTTTTGTCCTAAACTACCGATAATGAAAACATGTCAAAAACTGAGAGACTCGCTGTTACAACCCAGATGAGCTCTCCCTGCTGGACATGCACTAAGCTGCTGCAATGGACAGTGGCGCTCATCACCGTTTGCATGTTACACATGGTGCATACCATTGGCAGCGGCAGCACCACCCATGGAGGGAAAAAGGGCTACCCGGTGAGGGAAAAAGAGAGCCCCTAAATGAAGTGGATTGCTACCGAGTGTATGGGATCAGAGTGCCACTTACTGCAATTTTCCCGACAGATCCTCTGTCACAATGGAGGGACCATCAAACCAAACTCGAATGATGCTGCAACCCCTAAAGTGAAAGTGGTTCAGCTGAGTGTACCATGTCAAAAATTTCTGGGAGTGCCCTTGATATTGGATGCAAACCTTTGGTCCCATGTGCTCTTGACTTGCTGGGGCTGGGCAGAATTGAGGCACTGTCTCTCAGGCTCCAGCTGTCTAGGCATAAACTCCAGGTGCAGATGCCATGTCTGCCCCCACTCTTGACATTGAGAACACTGTGGTCCAATTACCTAGGCCCTGAAACTAGTGCCAGCTCTCTCAAGCGTCCACAGAAGCTTTTGCATGCTCTCAAAGTTCCACCTAAACTGTGGACCCATTGATTTACTGTTTCCCTCTTTGGAACTATGTGACAGTTTAAGGAAGAGATGCTGCAGAGGGATTTCTAAACACCCACACCTTTTGTCACAGAAAGCATACCAGACGTACAGATCCATGCAAAAATAATAAACATCTTTGCACAAATACCCTCCCTTCAGTGTCCTCACTGCTCCAAAGTGGCCTTTGGGTTTTGGTCAGTCCTTTTAGGGTCTCAACACCCTCCTGCTCCTCCTGTCCAGTCTTCCCGCCTTGTTCTGGTTGGTGAGAGAAAGCTACCAAGAGAAGAACTTGTCCTTTTTTACTTTCCAGTCCTCTCTATCAGGTAATCCTCCAGGCCAACCTCAAAGCCTCCCTTAGGTTATCAAGGTCCCCATTAGGTGATCCTTTGCTTGGTTACAATCCACCTAAGATCCAGATGAGATGAAAACTCTTTTCTTGCACCATACCCATTATGTTGCCAGGACAAAGTCATTCATGTTTAACAATCCTTGATCACTCTTCATTGCTTGTCTTCTGTCTACACCCTTGGAATTCCAGTCCAAGATGGAGGCAAAAAGACAACAGGCAGGGTACAGCCTCACAACCAAATGGTGCTCACAAAACAAAATGAAGTTTTTAGTTTTATATAAATACATTCAGACATATAGTTAATAGTTACACTCACACAGCTGGTTGTATGTTATTTATTCCGTATGATCACTAACATCTTCACAGAGGTGACAAAATAATGAATGCAGAGATTGGAGCTGAGGCTAATTAGAGAAAATGTGTGGTTCTGACATGGAAAAAGGGTTTTATCCTTCATGAAGCCCATTAGTGTCATAGAATCTATTACCTTTATAGAGAAAAAGTGAGCTGCTTTAACCCACAGGACATTAAAGATAATAGGATCAGGTTTAAAATGCACAAATCAACATATAAAAACACACAGGCATAGCATGAGAGAGGCTAAATTCAATAATTTATCATCAGATTGCAAGGATTTTCTGTTGTTGTTTATAGACAAAACTACAGATAAGTGCAAACCCGGAAATTCGATATCTGGTTTGAGCTAAATTTGAAAAGTTTGGATTTATTGTATAATTTGAATTTCAGTATAGTTCATTTCACTGTTAATCACCCCAACCACATTCTATTTTTATATTTTATATGTGGCTTTTTTGTAGCTGCTCATAATACATAATCTTTCAAAAATTTGTTATTTATAAATCTCTGTAAATTCATAATAGGTAGATCTTGTAATCAAAGTAGCTTATGATGTCATGAACCTCTATAGAAAACGTAATGTGCATTTATTCTGTGTATGACAACCATTTTAACTAAAACTCTTTGCTCTTTAAAAAGATGCCAGTGGTACATAAAGGCCAAAATGAAGTCTGAAGAAAAAAGAAGGGCTCATTTGCAAAATGGACATTGTAAGTAATACAACATTGTGTTATTTAATGCCTATGTTGCATTTTCAATGAAAGTTATATATTGTTTTCTCTATACATTTTGACCCTGATTCTGTAATTTAATCCATGTGGAAAAACCCCTTAGTTTATGCAGACCCACACTGATTATAGGATCAAGGCCTCTGTTTTTATCTGTGCATCCTCTTCGCAAAAGTTATTTGAAAACCTTGCATTTATTCTACTGAGCAAGTCTGCAAGGGAAAAAGTCCATCACCTTTTGGATTTCAATGTTAATAGTTTTTATCAGTTTTCCAGGCTTGCCTGTGAATTCACAACTGCTCTGTGTTATATTATTCTTTATGAAGTGATTATCAATAGATTCTGCTACTGTGGTGCATGCAGCTTACATATGTGAGATCAGACACTTTTGATTAGCAGTGCAGTCCTGCAGTCACTGTTCAAGTAGGACTCCTCATACCCACCTCCATGCAAATAGACTATTGCTTGTTAGTCACTAAGAGTGAAATCTGTGTGGACAATCACTCAAAAAAGAACAGTTATTCTATCCTACAGTAGTTGTGGTTGTTTGAGGTGTGTTATCAACACAGATTTCACGACCTGCCCTCCTTTCCCATTACTGCTCAGTTCTACTCCTATGGGATTCTATATTAATGAAGGAACTATGGGGCAGTTGGGCCTACTCTACAGTTTATGTCCTGAGGTGCAGGGGAACGAGGGCACTGAGGTGCAGGCACTGCCCCAATGGACACTGCTAGCCCAGAAGAATCTGATCTTGCACGCCTGGGGCACATGTGCAACAAATGTGGAATCTCTATGGGCAATAGATCTCGAAAAACCATAGTTCCTATAGGGCAAGTAACCATTCTCTTTGCGGCAGTTTCCTTCTTCTGCTGGGAAATATGACAGATTGGATGTGCCGAAAAGAAACATTAACAGTATTTTATCTGTGTATTTACCATTTCCAGTGCTTTCGTATTGGTAGTGTCTTCCTTAATGGTAATACACTACCTTCCAAGTGTTTTAACAGACTCATAATAGTGGTATTACATGAAATGCTAAAATGGAGATTCAATATTGTTCTGTTGAAGAGCTACTTTTTCCCAATGCAACAAATTATCTTTAAATTAATTGAATCATCTCCAAATCTGAAGAATAGGGGCTGAGTATTCAATTGAGGGTTCATATATGCACATTTAATTATAACCTTGCTTAATTTGATCATCTGATTTACTAAAGTGCCTGATTCTTCCACACTACTCTACTCATGTAGAATAGTACCTTACTCATAATCCCATTGAATATTTACTATACTGCTTGCCTGGTCACGTAGTACTTTATGTAAGGGTAGCAGAATCAGGCCCCAAATTATAAACCATCCTTTGGAAAGCAGGATGGGAGTTTGGGGGTGGAGGTCTTTTTTTTGAATGAATGAATATTCATGATGGTGCAAGGTGCTGGATGAGCAGAACTGGAGACTGAAGTCCTCTATTAATCCAAATATAAGCTTCCACGCATGCTGCCCTACTTCTCCAGTGTTGCTCAAGCCCATGTAGAAAGACCACCTCTGCGGGGGGAAGGGTATTGCTACTTCCATATTCATTCAATCCCTGGCAGCTCTAAAGCTGCCAACAAGCATGCCAACTGTTGTAGATGTTTGGCCACCCATTCGTTTTACATAGACTACAATTTAATTAGCAATCAGTTGCTAATAATTTTGGGTCACTTTCGACCTAGTCCAGATTGTGTCTGTCAACTTAAATATAAAAGGCTTAATATCCCATCACTAATGCACTGAACCATCTGTTCACTGCATTTTTTTAAAGTTAATATTGGTTATAGCATGGGAATGTTTGTTGAAGGATTTTTGACTAAAACATAAGTAAAATCTTCCTTTCTTTCCAGTGCGCTTCCCAGGAATAAAAACGTATATTGATCCAGACACATATGAAGACCCATCTCTTGCTGTCCATGAGTTTGCAAAGGAGATAGATCCTTCAAGAATTCGTATTGAGAGAGTTATAGGGGCAGGTAAAAGCATGCAGGCTTACAAAAATATTAATAATTGTCTCTCCTAGACATAGGGAAACTGCCTTACTCAACTTGAAGTCATATGGTGGTAATCAAATACTGTATCAAATGTGAGCAGAGTTTCCCAACAGGCAAGGACACTCTGGGACAGCTCTCAACCACAGTGCTAAAGGTGCAGCAGGAGTGGCAATGGAAGTCTTTCCTATCGTGCTGTTACAGAAAAATGGATGAGCTGCCCACTCTTTTGAAGAGTCCAGAAGAATAAAGTGGGAACTAGTTGCTCCCTCAAGACCATGAAAGTGTGAGTGATAAAGGTAATTGGGCTGCCTCCAGAAGAAGAGTCCAGATTGGTGATCTGCATCTCTTAGCTTCTCCACTGAATGTTGGAGGCCAGTCCTGGGATTCTTCTTTCCTATACAATGGAGGGAGGACAGGAACCACTGCAAGTAGAAGTTCAATTCTTCCTCCATAAGGTGGCTAGGGTTATCTAGGGATGTTGAGTCTTCAGAGAGCAGTACACTCTGACTTTAGGGATGGGTGGCTGAATATTTATGAGAAAATATTGTGACAGATGTATAGTCTTTGCAAAGATTTTGCTGTATTCTAAAGTTTAATTAAAAGACAAAGAAAAAAGGGTTCCTAGCTGGTCTGGTGGGGAAGATTGACAGATAAATTTAGTAGTGCCTGTCTCTATTTCCACATCCAGACAGACAGACTCCAAGAAAATGCAAACAGAGACACGAAGATAACCTATTCCTATTAAAAGGGACACTGTAGGACAAGTAGGTATGGAAAAAGTGAGTATTACATTTACCACATAACAGGAAAAAACAAAATCAATGTTGTTTGGCAAACTGTGTCACTGAGGCCACATTTTGCTCTATCATCTGACATAGATTAGATAGATCCCGAATGATATTCAGTTTGCCAAGTACTGCCAGTATGCAAATACAATTTGCAATGTTTTCATTATTTTTGCAAACGTTAATTTTCCTCACACCTATTTCAGAGTTCTCTCTGTTGAGTCTGTCTTTCAGAAGATTCATGAATACAGGACTTTTGAGTGAAAGTGTTAAATCTATCTTCCCTTCCAGAATGATAAAACCTTATTTTCTTTCTTTGAAAGTGTGCAGAACACAAAAAAATCTCTATGAAGACTATACAAACAGAGCCCATGGTTTTGGAATGTTTCCACTTATTGTTTGCGCAAATATGCTCATTGATTTTAAATTCTACATGTTTTTTAAATGGTCTAATTCTTAGTTGGCCTTGGAAAGATAGTGCCAAAACTTGTCAAGCTGTGCAGAATGCAGTAGTTTTATTGCACATGAAGTTTTGTTGAATTTTCTTTTCTGATTTCATTTCATGTTGATTTTCATGCCTTCAGTTTCGCTCCAAAATGCTAACTGAAATTCAGCCAAGACTATAGTTTCATCTGATTTCAGGTTGACACCATGCACTGAGATTCATATGGGATGGGATTTTCCGAAGTGCCTAAAGGTATGAAGAGCACAACTCAATAGAAACTCCATGGGATTCATGTTCCTAACTCTCTTTGGTGCTTTTTGAAAATCCCACCGTTTGTTTCCAAATTAAATCATCATCTCACCATGCTTTGTTCACAACTCAGACCAGGTTCACTGAAAAGTTTGCAAAATCCGACCAAAATCCAGGCTAGATGAAATTCTTCCAATTTAGGGGATTTTGTTGTGAAAGTGTTGCACAGCTTGTTTTCATCCACATGGTATGTACTGCCATGAAACTGTATCAAATTTGTGATGGGGGATGGGATGTACAACAGATATTAATGGAACTAGGTGAGAAACAGTCCACAAAAAGGTACATCTAAGACCAAAGACTAACCTCAGCCAATATGCTTTGTACATAATCATTCTTAGCACTTAGCAGAATGTTTTTTCTCCCATAGAAATGAATTCATTTTACTAAAGTGGATAAGTATTATTATCCTAATTTTACAGATGGAAAAACTAGGCAATAAGGGTATGTCTACATTAGAAGTTTTCAGTCCTTTCCCCACAGCTGGACTACCACTCATGCAATTTTACTTGAGCAAGTTTAATTGATTCTGGACCATTCATCTAGTTTGACCTCCTGTATAGACAGGCTATAGAACTTCCCTAAAATAATTCCTAGAGCAGATTTTTAAAAACATATCCAATCTTATATATAACATATACAAACATATACAATCTAAACATTGTAAGTTATGCAGAATCCACCATGATCCTTGTTAAATTGTTCCAATAGTTAATTACTCTCACCGTTAAAAATTTACATCTTATTTCCGATCTGAATTGTCTAGCTTCAAATTCCAGCCATTGGATTGTGTTATAACTTTCTCTGCTAGATTGAAGAGCCCATTATTAAATATTTGTTCCCTGATAGTACTTATAGACTGTTATCAAGTCACCCTTTAGCCTTCTCTTTGTTAAGATAAATAGATTGAGCTCCTTGAGTCTATCAACATAAGGCTTGTTTTCTAATCAATTAATCATTCTTGTGACTCTTCTCTGAACCATCTTCAACTTATCAACATCCTTCTTGAATTGTAGGCACCAGTATTGCTCCTCTGCCAAATATAGAGGTAAAATAACCTCTTTACGCTTACTTGAAATTCTTGTTTATGCATCCCAGCATTGCATTAGCCCTTTTGGTTACAACATCACATTGGGAGCTATTTTTAGCTAATTATCCACCATGACTCCCAAATTTTTTTTTCATAGTCACTGCTTCCCAGAATAGAGCTTCCCATCCTGTAAGTATGGCCTACATTCTTTGTTCCCAGATGTATACATTTAACCATATTAAAACACATATTGTTTGCTTGCACCCAGTTTACCAAGCAATAGAGATTGCTTTGCATCAGTGACCTGGCCTCTTCATTATTTACCACTCCCACAATTTTTAAGTTATCTGCAAACTTTAGCAGTGGTGATTTTATTTTTTCTTCCAGGGTCATTGATAAAGATGTTAAATAGCACAGGGCCAAGAACCAATCACTGCGAGACCCCACTGGAAGCAGACCCAGTCAATGATGATTACCTGTTTACAGTTACATTTTGAGACCTATCAGATGACCAGTTTTTAATCCATTTAATATGTCTGTTAATTTTAAATTATTCTAGTTTTTTAATCAAAATGTTGTGCCCAGTCAAACGTCTTACAGAAGTCTGAGTATGTTACATCAACATTACCTTCATCAATCGAACTTGTAATCTCATCAAAAAAAGATATTAAGTTAGTTTGACAGGATCTGTTTTCCATAAACCCAAGTTTATTTGCATTAATTATGTTAGCCTCCTTTAGTTCTTTATTAATTGAGTCCTATATCAGCCACTCCTATAGGCGCCGGCTTCCCCTCTTTCCCGTGGGTGCTCGAGCCCCCTCTGCCCCCCGCTCTGCCCCCACTCCACCCCTTCCATGAAGCCCTGCCCTGCCTCACCTCATCCCCGCCCCCATTCCAACCCCTTCCCCAAAGTCCCCACCCCAAATCCGCCCCCTCCCTGCCAATATTCCAACTCCTTTCCCAAATCCCCGCCCTGGCCCCACCTCCTCCTCGCCTCCTCCCCTGAGAGCGCCACGTTCCCACTCCTCCCCTCCGCTCCCGGAGTGTGCTAACTCTGCCGAACAGCTGTTTGGCAGCGGCCGGACAGGAAACTCTGGGAGGTAGGCGGAGGAGCGGGGACATGGCACGCTCAGGGGAGGGGGAGGAGGAGGAGGTGAGGCGGAGGGGGATGGGAGCTTAGCTGCTGGTGGGTGCAGAGCACCCACTAATTTTTCCCTGTGGGTTCTCCAGCCCCGGAGCACCCACGGAGTCGGCGCCTATGGCCACTCCATTATCTGGCCTGGGATTGATGTCAGGCCAACAGCCCTATAATTACTCAGGAGAGCTAGGAATGGAACATAGCTCTCCCAACTCTTAGTACTGTGTCCTGAGCAGTGGGTAACTCTGCCTTCTGCAAAGGTACTCATAAACAATTAGGCTACTGAAGATTAGCATTCAGGCACGGTAGCTGACACTGAGATACCCAATTCTGTATACCTTTTATTTGAGATTAGAATCTGTCTGTAAAATCTCCACTAGTTAAAAGGATAGGAAGTGTAAGGTCACTTCAATATAAGTCACCTGCACAGGAACATAGATTGATGACACTGCAGTGGACTGAAGTCTTTTAAAACAGTATTATTCTTTTATGTATTTGGGAAAGTGTCTGGGTTGGGGTTGCAGAAATGATACCTGAGAGTCAATGTATGTAAAATTAACACAATGAAAAAATATTTAAAGAACTGCTCGATATATTTGATATAGTTTTCCCAGTTACAGAGCCCTTCCAGACTGTAGATAGCCACCACCTGTAGCTTTTACTGGTGTGCCAGCCTAAGCGGGAATATCTACACTGCTATTTTTAGCCCCATAGCACAACCCCCACTAGCCTGAGTCAGTTGCCCTAGGCTCTCAGACTCGCTCCTGTGGGTCTTTTTTGCAGTGTAGGCATACCTTCAGAGACAGGAATTCCTGAGTCACTTTTCTCTCTCTGCTTTAGTTTATCTCATCTGTAAAATGATGATGACTGATAATTTTTGCCTGTCTTCATTACAAAAGCGTTGTGAGGTTAAGTTAGGTATTTCCTTGGATAAATCAGCCTTATACTGTGTCAGCATGTAAGTCTTATGTTATCTAGAAGATGCTTTTTTGTTGGATACAAGTCCTTAAATGCATAGGCTTTGGGTGAAGTCATATATTTTATTGGGTAGTGTAACAAAGAATTTTAAATTCATGTGTCCAGCCCTATTCCAACTGAAGTTACAAATTTCCCATTGACTTCAACAGGAACAAGATTAGACCATGAGTGAAATATATACAAAATAGACAAACATACAATTAGAACATCTGTCTTTATGTATATATGTTTTGGTTCCAACTAAATTGCATGTACAATGTCTTGTGACTATCATCTTAGTACCTGCTAAATCCTTAT